TTCCTTGTAAGTATAGTCAAAAGCGATATTTGTCTACGCAGATGGACGAGTCCCTCGTTGACTCAGCAGCATTAGATTTTGCCACCATTGAGTAAAAGTATCATCCTATAGATGAAATGCGATGAGATCTGTCTCATAAATCATAAAAAGAATCATAAACTATATAAAAAAAGGTGCGGTAGTCATCAACAACGCAATTTTCCAGATGACAGAGCCGACGTACGGTGGTGGCACTGTCTTCACCGAGGTCAAATCTGCCGTACTTCCCACAAAGGTGAGTTGTAGCTTTTCCTTATGATGGTGACCAGGAGTCCTGTTGTTGTCACTCTACACCCCAAACTTCGGAGCAGTTGAGTGCGTGCCTAAGGCCTCAGCTGTGGAAGAAGGGTACAATGTAGTGATGGGAGATATGGCAGTGTCAACAGTGACATACGATATCCCCCTCCCCCTGAAACTAATTGCTCTGTACGACTTTTTTTCCACTCCCATCCCACCACTCCTCCTCCTCAACTTTCTCGAGTTCTTAGCAGTAATCCGTTTCTAGGGACTTTTCCATTTTTTTTTGAAAAAACAAACACGCGCTAACGTGGAAAAGGGGATTGTCGCTCCCCAAAGCATCGAAGATAGGTTGCGTAGGTTCTTGATTCGAACCGAAGGCATTTACAACTACGGGAGGGGCCATTGTCCCAAAGGGATTGCTCATTGATACGCGGGCGCTATCGCGCTCACAGCTACTACGTTTGCGGACACGCCCTGTTTATCGCCGAGTTATGCTCCTGTAGAAGTTTGTTGTTCTATGTATCACCGGTTGGTCCGTTCCTGGTTTCTTTTTCTAATAGGCCAATCGTTTTATGAAAGTACCTTTTCTCTTGAACGAATCGCTCTGGTTTTTCTTCTTGACAGATTCCCATGACTTCTAGGGTTGAGTTTCTTGTTCAAGAGATAAATGTTTCCAGAATGATGCGCTGTTTTGGTACAACCTCATGAAGACGGGAGATGGCGACGCGAGAACTCGTCATGCCGCCTGCCCGGTACTGCTTGGAGTAAAATGGGTACGGATAACAATTATCAACAAAAAAAGGTTTCGAAACATTAAATCATTGTCAGGTCACGAATAAATGGGTCCATGAACGAGGAAATGAATTCCGTCGTCCATGCGGCCTGAAGATGTCGGATGGTGAACGGTGAGATGCTTTAGGTGTTTCTTTCCTCTACACATTTCGTCTCCCATAAGCTTTTTCAGGTTCATCGGTGATCTCGGTTTTGGACCGGAGCCAAGAGATGCTCCAAATCTGAGCCCAGATTTGTCCAAGGATATTTTCAACACCATCTAACTATCTGTTGACGTTTTTGTTGTGATGACGTATTTCTTTCATGGTTTTTTTTTGTTTCTATCGGGTCTCGGGATTACGCATAACAACACAAATGCCTTGCCAATCTTTTTCGTCGGATGCTACATTGCTCTCAAATTTCTTTCTGTGTTTTTATTTATGAATGTAATTTATTACTACAGTGATGGGTGCAGCAAAACAGTTGCGATGATTTTCGAAATCCCCTAGGACTAGAATGTTATTTTATGTCCTATTATTTTATTCACCATTACTTTTTTTCAAATTTGAGCTCATATCCTTTCAATATCTGCCATTTGAATATCAAAAAATGTTGTTCACCAATGTCGTGATATTATCCTCAGACGGTTTCTTATTGTCCAAGTGATGTGGCCGGGCGCCTTATTACCCTTTATCAGATAAAATATTTCTCTTAGTGTATATCGACGATGGCGATATTACTTCGCTATCGCAGTTTGTGGTAGAAGCGACAGGACTGTGTTCATACTTTGCGGCAGCTAGCCATACTCTCTACTGCTGGTAGTCCACCAACGACTACCAGCAGTAGAGAGTATGGCTAAGTTGACAATTGACTTATGCGACAGATGAGACTCAACTGAGGCTCATTCGTCCTCACTAATCCTACTAATACCCAGAGCTAGGCTCCTCACGATGGAACCTTCGGTGAGTTGCTCTCAGCTATTACCGGTTGTTCGGAAACTTTCGCGACACGGCCTCGAAAACACTAGAGTGGGGAAAGCGCTTGGTCAGCTTGTTGACAAATTAAAAAGCTTCTAGCCATCATCAGCCACTCTAACGAGAACGAGAAAGATCGAAACGTCGTACCAGTGACAAAGGTCAATCTATTCAACCACGTCGTTGGGGCAAACACAGCGAAGTAATATGAACATTCGACATCTTTCTCCTCAAGCCTCAGCTGGTTTCTTTTTGAGTACAAGGAAGAGGAACCTGAATGATCCAGGAAGGTAAGCCTCGGAATCGCCTTCACTCGGAATGGGTTCAAAAGCGAATCATGGGTGGCATCAGAACACTGTTTTTGATGGTACGATAATTTCAAATATTAGTTAGTATAGGGTCAGCGATTTCAAGATCGCTTTCACGACACCGCCAGCTTTGTTATTACCATAAGAGGCTTTTACTGACTTTTAGGCACATTTTTGGAGTTTATAATAAAGGACAACGCAATTGTAAGCGTTGGCCGCCAGTAGTGCGCCGTTCTGTTCTAAATAAAATATTTAAGTTAAAGAATTGAAATTTCATCAGTGGAGTTAGCTGTCTATATAGATCCCTTCACTAACAAGGAAAGGATGGTTGGTCGAAGTGGCCATTTAAGACAAGATGCATACACACTGATGCGTCTTCGGACGCTGATTTCAAATCTGCTTTCCATATCTGCTAAACGATTCTCTGAGCAGAGATATGCAGGAGGTTGTTGTACGGAGCACAATTGAGCTTGGTACACAAATGAAACGTGAGTCGTCACACGAAGTGCCTCGGTGGCCTAGTGGGTGTATACCGCCTCAGGTATGGCGAGCTGGGAGAGGTTCGAATCCCTCCATGAATCGTCATTTTGCATTTTCTCAAAAATGCCTCCTGCACATCCGGAAAGCACTTCTGCGAGGCTAGGAGACCTGATTCTACCAAAAAATTTTATTTCTGATGTGATAGAGCCATTCTGGAACACTCCTAGTGGGAACTCCTAATTTTGGTTTCGCCGGCATATTCGTTCCGGTCGTGTTGGGAGGGCCAAACAAAAACTGATTCCGATGGCCAGGTAGGCCAAAAGTGGATGTCGGGGTTGTTATCAGGGACGTCAGTAACCTACAAGGACCAAGATTTAGCGAGGAACCTCCACTGCTCACAGAGATTTGAATCGGCGATAGTGCCAGCAACCTTTAGGAATTGGTTGCCTATGGTTACCCCACTGTATCGAAAATAGGTCGAAATCTCAAATTTGGTTGAAAACTTGTCTCTAGGGCTAATTTGAGCCCCAGAGCACGAATATCACACTCGTTCGGCGTAAAAACGCTTGCCAAGGACGTTGCAGGTTCCTGCACACCCTGCCCCTCCAGAATGCGTACAAGACGTTTTCACGAAATATAACTGCAGTATTGATTCCTAGGGCATCAAAGCACCTCTAATTCCAGATTCCAGCCAATTTGGGCAATTTGGAGCACCTCATATACATGCTGGAAATGGGTGTGACCTGGTCAAAAATCCTGCATAACTTTGTCCAGGAAGGATCGTTTATGGCAGATATGGAGGCAGGTTTTGTAATCAGGCGCTCCCAAGCCCATCGGGCAGTCTATGTCTCATTTCGAATGGCCACTTTCGACCAAAGCCATCGCTTTCGCTTGTAAGGATCGCGCTGAATTATTTGAAGTTCTCTTTCCTTCCAATATTGAGTGTGAGTGGCCAAGTCGACGAAGTATAAACATTTTCGACACGCCTACTACCTTTTTATGATTAATCGCAAGCTACGGCCAACGAGGAACAATGCCGTCTTGAGAGCGGCTTCCTCGAATTTTAATCATTCGTTCAATTACTTGCATACGGCTTTTTTTCATCGATTTACTGGGTGTCCAGTAGAGAGTATGCCTTTCTTGTTTCGTGTTTTATGGGAAATACTGATGACTGACTCTACATTCATAATAATTAATAATAAAGTCTGAAAACAGCAAGAGACGCATTTGACAACTGGGATAAGGCAATGCTCTCGCAATGCTTCTCAGGAAAACATGAAAAGTTTAGACGGTCCGCGATTTTTGATATGCACCAGAATCAGAAGCAAGTATAAAAACAGATGTCTTATTGAGTTCGATTGAGAACTTACTGGATTAGTTTTCATGGAGGCCCCTATGCGATGTGCTTATTTACAAGGTCCAAACTCCCATTTTTTGATCGTTTCTTCGCGTCATCCAGTTCTAATACCATCTAGCACAAAAAAGAAAAGCACTGCATAGGAACTGATTTAGTGGCAGAAAATAGTCTTTGAGTTTTGCTGGGAGGGACAGCTGAGGAGAATCAGGAGAACGTCACTAACGAAGGTCCCACGCCTTCGTTACTTACTGTGGAGCCGCGAAAGCGGAATAGTCCTAGAGACTCTAAGGATCAGGATACTTCCACAAGGAAGGGTGCCTACGAATGGCTTGAGGACGGAGTCTGTAAATAAATGAATAAACATGTGGAAATCCTTGGCAACAGAATTAAATAGACGTATTTAATCAAGTAATCAGCAAAACCGTTTTCTTTTAATGCCTTGTTGAGGCTAGCAAAACATATATAGTTGCGGTTGCTAGAATTTCACATATTCCCGAGGAAGGGCGGGCACAAGTTATCTCAGTCGTGTTCGCTCCGGATGATGGGGCGTATCTGCGCGGCTGCGTTCGGCGCGCCACCAGCCCGTTCTCCAGGCGGCTAAGCGGTGACACCTAGTGGAAAACGACTGATATGAACGACGTGATGCCGTCTTGTACTTTGCCAAAAGAAAAAAAAACGAAAAAAATTGCGCCGTTGACCAGACTGCCAAAGCCTAACCCATTCTCCCTTGACATCTCCGCATCATCTGCAGCGAACAAGACTCTAACTAAATATTCGTTTGCAGGAAACTTTATAATGCATATAAACTTCCGCAGTGGAGTGACAAGTATTCATTAATATTGAAATACAAGTTCTTGTGTAAGGAATAACATTAACAAAACATGAAGTCATACATCGCTGTCGAGTTCAAGAAGGCCTACCGTATTGCTGAACCTGAATGCGTGACTTCCAGGATCCAGTCATTCTTCTGCAGCTTCTTAACTCATTGGTGGACAATGTACACCACTTGTGGTGAACAACGAGATGCCCACTTAGGACCGTGTCCGCCATATGTGACGAAAGAGC